TGACACTATATTCGTCTTATGAAAGTAATATGGTGAATTTATATGCGATATCTGGTTCGCATATCCAATATTCTGATTACGATGCCTCGACGTATCTGGTAGTCAATACCGAGACATTTAGTTGTAGACATCTAGACAGTTTGGTAATTCTCTCTAGACGTGTGATACTATTGACGCGATAGTTAATTGTTATATTATTATCACTGCGACGTTTCCTTTTTCATCTATACTAATTTATAAAGACGTCGGTATAAAAAAGTGCTATAAAAGAGTAGACGCTAAAACCGTCAGATATTAGGAAGAATGAAATTTCTTAAAATATGTCGACAAATTTAGAAGTAAATATATGAAGATTATATACAGTAGTAAGTATATGAAAATTATATATAATATGGTTAGATTTTAGGTGAGGTAAGAAGTCTAATACTATTCCACAACTGTATTCATAATATTCACCAAATGAATTGTATGCTGTACCAGACGGTTTGGTAAACGTATTTAAGCATTACTGTAACACAACTTAGACAATGCGCTCACCATAGTTTGGTATCATTGACTAAATATCTTGTTACACGATTATTTATTGTACCGTTTGATAAACCTATAAATAGAATTCTGGTTAATATTATTAGACATTTCTTTCAGTGTACATATATTTCCTCTGCATTGCGGAAACTTAAATATTCATATTTATATAAAAACCAAAAAAAAAAAAAACAATAAGAGTGACCATAGTTAGATACTAACTATATGTGTGTTATCGCACTGAGGAAAAAGTACTTGAGAATTTAATTGCGGGATGTAAAGTTTACTTGCGAAAACAAATTTTATTTCACAGAAATAAACTTTCAAGTATTTTTTCTCCGTGCAGACATTGGTACTTTTATCTTACGGAATTCTCGGAGAATATAATTGGAGGATCATCGATGCGTCTGTGATTTCATCCTCAAGGCGTAAACCATTTCGTTATATTTTTCTAGGGCGAGAGGGTTTCTTAGTGACTTCCCCGTCGCGCACGATAATTGTTTATTCCGAATGACTGACGAAACGAAAATTAGGAATTACGCGGCGAGTCGCGTTCACATTGTAGCGAGAAATGCGACGGAAGTGTGAAACGGCACTTCCTCGCTCGGAAAACAAGAAATTGCCTCGTATTGGTCGGGAATTGGCGAGAATACCGGAATAACAGCATGCGCGGAAGGGACGAACGCACACATAAATATAAATATATGCACACATATACACATGCGTGAACGCACGCGATACATCCAGCTCTGCCGCCTCTGCTTTTTCTGCAAAATAAATATCGATATCTCATACCTTAACGAACGGTTCTGCATGGCTCCGCGCACTCCCGGTACGATATTCCACCGTCTCGGGAGTATAGAGGAAAATGCAGAATAAATGGAGGCGAAAGGTACATCACGCTCTGGCCCCGGCCCAAAAAGGGCTCGACAACTTCGTCAATGGCTTTTTCCGACCTGGGGCCGAGAAGATAGAGAAATATAGCGCTCGGCTTGCAGCCGCCGTTGTCGCGACGAACGGCATTTAATAAACAGTCGCGCAAGTCGACGACTGAGTTGCTCCTTTCGCGAAAACTGACGCCGACCCGCGCAAGGAAGGTGACGGCGATTTACATACTGTGAACTGACCGAGAACAGAGGTGTCGCGGCCGGCGATTTTCAATCGGTGGTCGAAGCGCGCCGAAATAATTGGCTCGCGTGCAGCGGCGCATTCATTAACATTCGCGGCGCGCGCTCGCGAGCTAATGAATTTAATTCATTCAGCGACGAAGCCGCGCGCTCGTGGCAATTAACGGCGAAACCGTGGCGTCCGTTTCGGGGACACGCACTTTGGGACCGATCGCCGAAACTCGACCGCCACTGCATACACCAATTTAGGTGTTTTCGCTAATGCGACGTATCGATTTCGCCATCGTTTTTAATCCGTGTAACATATGTGTGTTACGTTTTTATTCTATTTATTCTTTTTTTTTTGTAATAGACACGCATCGCGCGTGACACGTCCCAGGCCTACCGCCCGCCGAATTGTGAGCCGAGCTTTTGCTCGTTATCGATTTTCTTGACGAATTCCGAGGATAACGCGATTAACAGAGCCGTACGAAGGGATTTACGGTAATTGCAGTTTCAGCGTAATTAAGCGGCGCACGATGAGAACGGAAACGAATACACTGAGAAAAATCCTTCGGTTATCAGACCAAAAGCACGTTTGCTGCTTGATAATCATTAGGGAAACAGATCGAACAATTACACGTCAGTCACAAATCTAACAGTTGCACATTATTTTTCATCATTTGTCGTTTTAACAAATATAGTATCGCTGGAGATACAAATCACATATATTTAAGTTGAGTTAGTTTTGTCTCCACCATGGAAGTGTGTTACTTGTTGCACAGAAATAAAAACAAATAATTTTCTTCAAAAACCTCAAAAGTCTTAGAAGTTATGAAGTAATTTTGAGTCCATACTTTCCTATGTGACTGCACATAGGAATGTTGATTCAATGCAATTTCATTCTTTTCAGAACTTTTGAGGTTTTAGAAGATGATTTATTGGCTTTTTAATTTATTTATTTAATTATCTATTTAATTTATTTGCTAAGTATTTTATTTCGTACTTTTTAATCATTCATTAAAAGCTTGTTCTCAAAGTCAATTAAAAAAGATTTTTTAAAGTTTTCGATTAAAAAAAATATTCTGCTACTCTGCGTCTGATTTTCTGTTATCTAGGAATTTTCTGTTATCAAACGAAAACTCGGTTGTAGATATGTCGAGAAGTATATCTGCAGTTAAACGTTTCGACATGTTAACAAGAGCTCTCTTCTAAATTATGCTTTCGTTCTTTGTTCAGTTGCACGACCTGAGATCCATTTCTCATATTGTTTTTACAACAAATTACAACACAATTCTTGTTGACAATAATGCGCGACGCGGTCAGTCGGAGCTTACCTCGCTACCGATAACATTGATAATTACGTGGACGCGCGTAATTAGGACGGATCGATCGTGGCGGCGAAGGTAAGAGCGTTTTTGACCACGATTAACATTCATGTCCGCGCCGGCTCGCGAAAGTCTGTCGATACGCTCGTAGGCTGCATGCCAACTCGAACGGAATTTCACCTTCTCACGTGCCGGAATCGCCGGAGCGGAAGTGAGGAAGACACTTTCACGAGCTCTTCCGAGATGCGTGGGTCTCACGAACACGTGTCCAGAAGGGGCAGGACGACACACGTGTGTCGATGCGATCGACTTGGCCGCCGTAAGGGAATCATTTCGAAATTCGGCTCGCGCGATGATGCTTGGTAGTACAATCGCGGTAATCGCCGCAAAGTCGAGATTCGACTCGGCTCGCAGCAACGATAGTTCGCGCATTATTCAAAGCAGTGTTCGATGTCATTGAAGTTAATCACGCTATGTAGGACGTCGTTATCGTGTCCGCCGTGCAAATCAAAGAGATCAACTTCTAATTACTGCGAACCGCGCTCGCGATAAAAGCCCCAAAGTTGCTTTCGTTATTGAAGCGCATTATCGTGACGACGACGACGTCCTGTTCCCTATCAGACTGTGCTCACTCGAAAGCACAAACACCTAGCTTTACTCGCGTAACTTCTGCCTGTGGAACTGTGGATCGGATTAATTATCGCGTTATCAGCAATTTTAACGATTTCCCAAAGCGCACACTTAGAAAACGGAATCGTGGCAAAGCGTAAGATTGCTCCTTCCAGTTGATTGAGTTTTTATCGATATGCAGGAATCATTGAATATAGAGGGAAAACTAGCTTATATCCGTTATAAGTTTCCTTTCATCGGCGTGCAAGCAGATTTCGACGAGCAACCGTTAAGGAAGCGCGCATATCTCGAAAATTTCCAATTTGCCCGGTCAGAGGATGGGAGAGATAGAGAGAAATAGAGAGGGATGCGAGAGTGCCATTACAATTCACGTGCATCATCTCTGCATTCGTCGGTGAGGTGAATCCCTGCCTGCCACGGATCGCACTCAAGCGCTCATCGATCTATCACCATGCATGGCCGCAATCATTTCGCGAATCACTTGTCCTAGTCGGTTTCGCTCGCGCACAATTGCGCCATTGATTAGATCGCCGTCGGTATTTATCGCGCTGTTGTATCGAGCGATAACAATGACGCGCTTTAATCCGCCAACGTCGGTGCGCAGTCTGGCGTTTGCAAGTCGCAAACGCAGTGAACGATCTGCAACGCGCGAGGAAATCGCGTAGTGCGCTCCATCCCGGTTCGTCCTATGTGTTAGGGTCGCGTAATAGGGTGACGGCGGGTAAATGGTGAAAAAGAACGCTACAATTTTCTGAGAAACTAACGATAGATGTAGCTCGAGTCGGTTGTCCTGGATCGAGTGCGCTCGTGCAGCGAGTCGAAATCTTATTAACCCTGCCGAGTGGCAATCAGAGTCATTTGTGTCCGGATCATTCAGAGAAATATGCGATTCTTGGAGCATTTTTGTTTCAAAACCGATTTTTTGGGGAATTTTTTCCTAAGTAAAATAGTTGAGAAAGACACTGACTTCGGTTGCCATTTTGAAGGTGGGAAAAATACATTAACACTCGGAGAATTAAGAAGGTGATTGGGCCCTATTTGCATCTTTATGCACAATCTTTCTCAATATCTCTAGAAACCACTGTCGAAAAATTGGCGCATCTTCCGAAGCATGCTGCTTCGTATCAAATTAATCAAACTAAAAATCGCGATAAATACGCACGAACGAATAGATTGGCGACAAATAAGGACAAGATTGATGCGCGATTTTTTGCGTTGGCAAAATCTCGATTTCTAAATTTCCTCGGGCGCCACCGAATTCTCCGGGAGAATCCGCGGTCGGCAAGCCACATCGCCGAAAATCGCGACGTTCGCTTTCCGCGACTGCTGACGACGCGACATCGATCCACCGTCTCGCCGGTCGAACGTGCCTGATAAAAATGTCGCCGCGCGCGCTGTGTGTGCTCTTTAGGGATTCCAAGCTCGTCGTGGCTCGTCTCGTACGTGTTGATCTATCGCCGAGTTTCGCCGGCGACGACATCCGACGACTGGTCGTCGCAGCGGCCAGTTCCCATCGGACGCCCAAGCGGAATCGTTCGCGGTCATTCCCCCGCACGACACCGCGGTCAAAGTGGAGTCGCTCACGACGCACCCAAGATGACGACCACCAGGCAGGGTGGTTACGCAGCGCGGAGGAGGACTCTCCTGGCGTTCCTCTTGATCGCCGTCGGACTCTCCGCGACCGCAAGCGCGCAAACCTACGTGGTGAGCAACACGTTGGACGATAAGGACTACTTCATGGGACCCTGTCTGGTCAACACTAAACAAACCTGTCCCGACGAGGAGGTGACGTTCTATCTCTACACCAAACACAATCCTGACGTGGGGCAACAGTTGTTAGTGAACGCCACGGGCTCGAATCTCGCCGAGACCAACTTCGTGGCGACATTACCCACAAAGATCATCATTCACGGTTACAATTCTGACATGCAGTTGAGCTATTTGGTGGATATTAGGAACGAGTATCTGAAGAGAGGCAGTTACAATCTAATCGCGGTGGATTGGCATCGTCTGGCAGTCACGCCGTGTTACCCAGTGGCAGTTCACAACATACCCCACGTGGGTGACTGTCTGGCGCAAATGGTAGAGCGCCTTAGAGACTACGAAGCGACGGATATCCACATGATCGGCTTCAGCCTGGGCGCCCATGTGCCGGCCTTTGCCGCCAACACATTGCGTCCGTATCAGTTACCAAGAATCACCGGCCTCGACCCGGCGATGCCGCTCTTCGTCACCGTGAACAAGGACGAGAAGCTCGACGCGAGCGACGCCGAGTTCGTCGACGTATTGCACACGAACGCCTTCATCCAGGGCAAGATCGAGCCCAGCGGCCATATCGATTTCTACATGAACGGCGGGGTCAATCAGCCCGGCTGCTGGGAGCAACGGAACCCTTTCGGCTGCGACCATCACAGAGCTGCCTCGTACTTCGCCGAGTCGATCAACTCGAGGATCGGCTTCTGGAGCTGGCCCTGTCCCGGTTTCGTGGCTTATCTTCTGGGTCTCTGCCCGCCCAGATTCCCCGCGGTGCTCATGGGCGAAGACGTCAATAGGAGATATCGAGGATTCCATCTGGTGAAGACGAAGGCGCAAAGCCCGTACGCGGAGGGGATGTTCACGATGGATCAGAAGGATCTTTACATACAATCGTGGGACGTGAGCGTCAATGGCTCGTCTCAAGAAAATGTTACGAGAAGAAGACCGTAATAGGAGAGAAGAGCAGACCGTAATAGGAGAGGAGAGCAGAGAGATAGGAACTCTGTACAGATTGACGAAACGCGAAGGTGCCGGGAAGGTGCTGGGAACGTGCCGACGCGCGCAGACGACGTTGACGAAAATGTAAAGGAGTCTTCGTATTAACGTCGTCGTGCGTCAACGAGATTCAGACGTCTCAATATATCGAAGTCAGGTTAATACAGAAAGTCATATGACGCGTAGTAATGCGCTGTCGATTAGAGTATCTTCAGAGATATCTTAACTTATCGTGAGGCAGAAAAATAGTCGAAAGGCACAACGTGCACGTGTGCGTTCTTTAGATTTGGAACAATCAGTGCGATTGATCTTCGTTAACTCGTATATACTCTTAGGAGATAACGCATAATAATAATTTACTGCGCCCTCACACAGGCCTTTACAAGTCGTAATATCGTTACGATACATTACGTTGTGTAATATCCCACGGTAATATCGCCCAAGTAACGCTTCCGGACATTTATTGCCAGAGAACATTTATCGCGCGGGTAAATGGAGATCGCGCTCTGTGTTACGCAATGCATGGTATTCCATTGTATCTCATTGTCGTCGCATTAATTGGCTTCGCGACTAGTCACTGAGCAAAACCAACGAATGGAAGACCGGCTGCACGACCGAGCGGGGAATCTCGCGCGTTTCTTCGCCAACTTTGGAGCATGTTACGTTATGTTACGGACTCGCGAGTCCGGCGTTGCGCGCAAGCTGAAGGAGGAGGAAGAGGAAAGGTCTACCATGTCAAGGTCAGACAACTGCCGGGACCTGCTAATCGATATCTCGCCAAACCGGAGAGAAGTGGGGCGGACATGACTGCGACATGCTCGCATACCGGGCAATTTCTTATCGATCCAGTGCGCGAAGCTCTCGCTCGCTCATACGTCGATCGAATAAAAAGTGCTTGACTGTATCTATCCATCTATCTGTCAGTCTACATATCTATCTATCCGTCTGTATGTCTGTCTGTCTGTCTGTCTGTCGATCGGTCTGCCCGCCTGTCTGTCTGACTGACTTGTCTGTCCGTCTATCTGTCCATTTATCCGTCTATTTAAACTGTTCCCCTCCCAACGTACTTTCACGGCAACGATATTATTGAGCCTCAAAATCGCTGAATTCTACTAGATTTTCCTCGCTTTCCCTGTGTCCTCCATTATTCCGTGATTATCCGTCAATAATGAGCGGCCGATATATATACACGTCTGCCTTTGTGGAAAAACTAACACACTGTATGTGTCGTCGGCAACGTGATGGCTCTTGCGAAAATGAGATTTGGATGGACAGACACGGTAACACGATGTACGGTAACGCGATATGCCGGTTCGCAGGATTTTTTGCAAACCTTATTCGCGCACGACTCTGTCCCTTTGTTCACGTCTAGTACCAGAGATGCTCGATATCAAGGAAAGGACGGGCTCTCGCTGCAGCGAGGCCGGAAGCCTCGCCAACTGATCCTGTTAGCTTCCTGAGAATCGATCTCGGGAGAATAAGATCTATTACCCGTGTACGTCACGGGAGACACTTTCCCGGGGTCAAAGGTATCGCGCGGCTGGCTTCTCGATTATTTTTACCTTCGGCCGCAGCAAAGGTCGAGAGAAACAAACTCGATCGTGCGCGCGCGTTGGTAGCAATGTGTGTGAGAAAGAGTATGTATTACAGTCAACATGTTGTATATCCAGCGAAATAAATAAAAACTCGTGAAATTCGATTCAGTGAACGCTATTGGCACTCGTTATTTTCCCGTTTTCGATCTATGCAATTCTCATTCCCACTAAAAAAATGTTCACGATAAATAGTTCTCCGCGCCGGCATTCACGCACTCGTCAATCTGATAAATCTTTTATCTATCACGACGATTATCCGGATTTCCTTTGCGTCAGCCGATATTTTAAACGCGACAAATTCGCCGTTTAATTTCCAGTGTTTCATGTCTAACAGGAATACCGTTGAAATGTCACACAATGAGAAAATCCCTCAATTATCAGAATAACAGCACATTTGTCGTTTCATGATTGTTGGAGAAAACAGTTATCCTTGCAAATTATCTCTCATCATTTGCCGTTTTAATAGACATACATTGCCTGAGATACAAATCACATTTGCTCTCATCTACTTACGTTAAGTTATGTGTCGAGTTAATTACATCTCCGTTATAAGTGTTGTTCAGAGCAGCAAGTTAAAAGTAACAAATTATTTGTTATCACGACGGGGTCATCATTTGCTGTTCCACATCAGCAAGTCATTTGATGTTCTGTATTTTTTTTTTAATTAGCAAAACTTTTTCCCTCAGTGCAGGACGATATTATCAGCGCTGCACTCTTTCTCCGGCCTTTCTCTCCCCGCGCCCACGCAGCCGCCCGTTAACCTCGTTTCCAGAGAGCCGCTCATATAATGCGATCCAATCAACTTAATCCGCGGTATCAAAGCACTCGAAATCCGAGCGGCCTGATTCGAATGTTAATGAATGCGAGAAGCGCGCTTCGGGGGCGCGCTTCCGCGCGCGATTGTATCCAAACAATTCGTTAGCAACTAACGAGACCCTCGTTACCAGCTACGTGACGGCAAGAATGATCGGCGTAAAAAGCGCGCGGAGTAATACCTCTCGCGAGGCAGCTCAATCATCATAGCTGAAACCGAACGACAAATCCCGCCGCCGTTTTCAGCAACAGGTAGCACTCGACGCTAATTTGCGATTAAGCCGCAAGACCGTCGCGTTCGCCCAATTAAGACTCTTAAATCGACTTGCGGACGAGTTGCAGCTGCAATTGCAATCGCGAGTATGTCCGGCGCCGAGTCATCGCCGCGAATCGATGCACAGGTCGGTGTGCACAGCGCGCACTGATCGTGCTCGGCGTTGTAGAGCATGTTATCGTCTCGTAATATGCTCGAGCTGCTTCGAAACCGCAAGTTGATGCTGGAGCTTCGCGGATTCAGGTTCGACGACGCCTCGTGAGAAGCGTGTATATCGTCGCACCTGATGTGATTAGCGAGTTCTTTAACGATAAAAGCGTCGAGCTCTCTCGCTTTGAGACGGGCACAACACGTTCGGGAAATAATCCGCTCGAGAACGTCAGACCGTGTTGAACGTATTCTCGCCGGCCGTGAATTCAATTTCTACCCGCCGTCGAATGCATAAAGCGCGCTTGGGAAAACCTTCAAAAAGGAGAAAAGGAAGGAGAAAGAGGGAAGAGAGAAACGAGATCGGACGGAATTGTCTGCGTCGAGACGCTATCTTTCCATCCGCAAGAGAACCGGCTGATTATCATACTTCGCGAGCGGGCAGCGGCGGCGGCCGTATTAAAAGTTGCTGGAATAGTTGAGGGGATGAATAGAGGGGGAGAGGAGAGAGAACGGGGGTGCCAAGGCTCGAACCGTTTCCTCGAGTACACAATTTAAACTTAGGCGGGGAAATGCGCATCCTTACCGGCCGCAATCCCGCATTCTCACCGTCGCATCGCATCGCTTCGCGTCGCCGTCGTGGGAAAGGTTGACGGAAATGGTTGGTCCGCGTGCGCGTTGGTCTGCCCCGTGAGGCGCGCAAGAATGCCAATCTCGGCGATAGAACGCGAGAAAATGGAAAGGAAAACGACGAAGGGGTGAAACGGCAAATTTGCTGAAAACGTCCCGAATGGACGCGTCGATCTCAGACGTTAACCCGCGATCTCGCGCGACACGAGGGCAAATTTTGCGCGGCATGTCCCATAAAACAATCCAGTGAGAAATACGAGGACACCATGTTGGGGAGCTTTTCGAAGACGCCACATAAGTCAAGTGTCAACCGCGACATTGCTTCGAGCACACCTACATGTATGTAAGGGTGAGTCAGTAGCTATTGCCAACTGGAATATCTTGGAAGAAGACAAAGGTCACCCTTAAACCTTCCAAGTGACTTCACTTAGAAAAAAAAAAAGGTTCCCGCCATGTGTTTGACGTTTTGTTTTTGCAAAAGAAAGAAAAAATACATATGGATAGCTGTGTATATGTGGACAGACACAGCGAGATAAACGACCAAAAGTGATTCTCTTCGAACAAAGTTAATATCTCTTTACGCGAAACAAATTTTTATCTGTTTTATTTTTTGTTTTATTTGTTTCCTTCTACACACGCCCGTTTAAACGGCGGTACGTCACGACAGCCGTATTGCGCCCGGCGCGCGATACTCGACGTCGCACGCAAAATAAAAATGTGCGAGGTAAATCCTCTGTGTAGTCCACTTTCCATGATTTACCCCGGTGTGTACTCGCGCGCACGTACACCGACGCGTTTGCCTTGGTCCGAGTGGATATGTGTACACGCGCCCTTGCCGGCGCGATATCTGAGATAATTTGAATTCGCCGAGTGGAATATAATTTAATAAAACTTTACCGCGGAATTCGCATTAGCCACGCATTACCCCCGTCCCTTTGCGCCGCTCCTCTAGCCCGGCTGTTCTCTACGTTGTTTACTCTGCCCCGGGGCTATTTTCGTGAGAGGGAGAGGGAGCAGGGAAATTTCTTTCGTAAGATTTACGACCGCGCCGCGATGTTACGTCTGACGGCATTTCAGAAACGATTTCATCGCCGACTTCATCGAGACCACATTCGCCACCGCAGCCGCGTGCCACCCACTTCATAAATAATTAAATCGCGCGATTGGTTACAGTATAGAATTCTAAACTAACTATAGAACATTGAAAAGAGTCGACTCACAAGAGCTCTCGCAAATAAAAGCGCGGGTAAAAATCAACGAGACGGTTACTCGCCATTTTCCTGTATGGTATCGCTCGTATCGAGAATGACACGAGAATATACAGGGTATTACCTTTTCCCCCGCCCACTAAGCATAGCGTTATTCTTTATGGAAAACTGAATCGAAAAGTTCAGAGCCATTTTGTCGAAACAAGTTCTTACTTATGGTAACTTTTCAACATTTAATATGAAATATTTTTACAGCTAAGTCCTAAATAAAAAATCGGTGCTTTTCACAGTTCAAATTTTCATGAGGAATAACGCTATATACTTAGGCGGAGAAAAGATAACACCCTGCATTCATAATTATTAGCTTAAAAGGTTTCTGGAATATGGCCGCGGATATGTTGGATCATGAGGTCAAAGATGAAAAACGACACATTGAAAATTCTTTCGTGCAATTTGTAAATAAAACGATTTATCTGAATGAAAATACTTTAGATCTATTTATTGACCTGTAAAGAGAAAATAGTAGTTTTCGAAGCACATTACAGATATAGTCGAGCGATCTCTCTCAAGTGTTCCTTCCTTTATAAACATGTTTTTATTGGAAAATGATGCGCAAGAATTTTCGGCATGTGTTTTCTCACTTCTAACGTTATCAATCACGAGTTCCACGGCGAAGGACCTTAAGATATTTCATCATATCACAATACTGTTATGAGTTTCTGCTTCGAAAGACCTTTTATTCTTTCTCTCGCCACATTTTTCTTCTTAGAAATTGCCTGCTCATCCGCATCGATCCTGTAGTACACTTCGAAACACGATATCTTCACATATTTACGTACGTACATTCTAAGGAAATATATTAAAATAACTGCTCCACGAGAAAGAACCGCGGGAGCCATTTTCGAAAATGTCATCCGCGAGGTCTGAGAATCGTGGCCATTGCGACCCCGATCTCCGAGAAATCAATACCGGTTGTTCCGGAACAATCGTAACATTCTCTCGCCGTTTTACGCGATGATCTGTTGCGCGCCGTCGGTTATTGTCGGGCGCTGTGGGTTTTGTCGGCGATTTCGCTAAAAGCCCTTTACGGCGCTTACGGGAAATTGCAATGAGATCAGATCCTAGGAAGCGTGATCATCTAGCGACTACAATCTCATGCATATTCTAAACTGCACTCGTCCGTCAGCCTGGGGAACCCACTTTTGGCACTGTTGTATTTCGACTGTCGTATAACATTCGCATCACGTGATTGCACTTTGGGTATACACGGTTTCTCTCTCTCTCTCTCTCTCTCTCTCTCTCTCTCTCTCTCTCTCTCTCTC